AGGCGCGGATGGGGGCTGGCGACTTTCCTGTGAGCTACTCGCCTGTTGGCAAACTTTTGCGGGCAGATGCTGTTTCATTGTTTTACAAAAGGCAACAAGTGTAGACCTTTTCTTGCCTTGCCCCCTTTTATAGCCAGCAACAAGTGTAGACCTCTTCTTGCAAAGAACTCTTTTTTTTTGTGTGGCTAAACACAAGAACGCGGCCTGTCGGCAAGCCCCGGTGGCACACTGTGCTGGCTATAACAGGGGCCGGGCCCCAAAGAGGGTGGGGTAACCCTCCAGGCACCCGACAAAGCCCTGCTGTTGGGGTTTGCGGCACTCTTTGGAGCAACCCTGATTGTCTATTTAGTTAGGGCATCACACATGGTGTGTATGCATGTATATCTACAAATATTCATATATATATATATGTATATATATATATATGGTCACCCCCCCCCCCCCAGGGCCTACCTTTGCCCTCTTCTAGTTGAAGGTGTCAACTCTACTCTGTGTGCCTCTTTCTTGCAGATGCCTGAAACACTGTAAAATACAGTGTTTGTTGTTTTTTTTTACCTTCTATATGACAGCAGATGTCTGATTCTTTGAGGCTTGAAAGGCAGCAAAGCGAAAACGGATTCCGTTTTCAGATTCGAGCCTGGCTTTGATTGAATCACTGGTTTTTACAGTGGTTTTGAGTACACCAGGGAAAAACATTGAAAAAATGATGTTTTTGGCAGCTTTGAGCTCTGCAACCTGCACAGACCCAAAAGCACAAAATCTCCTGAAAATGAAAGCTCTGAGACCTGCACATGCCAAACACATCTCCAGACCAAGTTTGGGAGTCTGGGGATATGTGCCCTTTATTTGTTTAGCCACATTTAAGCTAAATCATATTTGGGAATGAGTTACTATTAAAATTTGTTTGCAAAGGCCAAGTGATTTCTTTCCAGAATAAGCTATATTCCAATTCAAGTTGTATTTGGGGATGGATTCTTAATCAAATTATTATGTTCAAAAGCTAATTGAACTCTGTCTGCATTAAAGTATATTTGGATTCTACTGCAATGATATTTTCCTTATTTGGAAAGGTATTCCTGTTCAAATTCTGATCTAATATAGACATTATGGTGAATTATGAATGGTGGTGAACTATGTGCTTACTAAATTCTATTCAATATGCAAATTCAATTCGGATCAAAAATCGTATTTGGAAAGGAATGTGTACTTGGATATGTTGGACTCCAGGCTCCAAAATATGAGGCTTGGAGAATCCAACATTAGACATCTCGAGGATTCTGATCTCCAGATTCTAGGTTTCAGGTGCTTCACCATGGACATTTCAAGGGATTGCAGGTCCAACAAAAAACTGTAAAACAAAGTGTTTCGAAGAAATTGCCCAGATTGTGTTCCCTTGGGCCGTTTCCCAAAAAACATTTTGCCCCCTTCAACATTCCAATTCAATTCGTGTTGGAGTACTCCAGGCTCCAAAATATGAGGCTTGGAGAATCCAACATTAGACATCTCGAGGATTCTGATCTCCAGATTCTAGGTTTCAGGTGCTTCACCATGGACATTTCAAGGGATTGCAGGTCCAACAAAAAACTGTAAAACAAAGTGTTTCGAAGAAATTGCCCAGATTGTGTTCCCTTGGGCCGAAGATTGTTCGTTTCCCAAAAAACATTTTGCCCCCTTCAACATTCCAATTCAATTCGTGTTGGAGTACTCCAGGCTCCAAAATATGAGGCTTGGAGAATCCAACATTAGACATCTCGAGGATTCTGATCTCCAGATTCTAGGTTTCAGGTGCTTCACCATGGACATTTCAAGGGATTGCAGGTCCAACAAAAAACTGTAAAACAAAGTGTTTCGAAGAAATTGCCCAGATTGTGTTCCCTTGGGCCGAAGATTGTTCGTTTCCCAAAAACATTTTGCCCCCTTCAACATTCCAATTCAATTCGTGTTGGAGTACTCCAGGCTCCAAATTATGAGGCTTGGAGAATCCAACATTAGACATCTCAAGGATTCTGATCTCCAGATTCTAGGTTTCAGGTGTTTCAAATTGGACATTTGAAGGGATTAGAGATCCAACAAAATGCTGTAAAACAGAGTGTTTTGCAGCAGTTGCTCAGATTGTGTTCCCTTGGACCGAATGGACAGCCTTTGATATAACAGTGCAGCAGTGATGACACACACACACAATCATCAACCTTTTAGGACCACATGCCCAAACCACATCAAACAAGGCCTCAAATGAGTGTCCTTTTTTTCCCAAACAACAGTCTCCACTTGCTGCGCAATAAGCCTACAGAAGGTTTATAAACTTTCAGGAAAGTTTATAAACCTTATTGAGTGTTTGACGAGTTTCCCGCGTCAAGGTTCATGGTATCGTTGAAGGATGGGGGGGGGGGGTTGGTTGGAAGTCTTGGGGGGGAGGGGGGGGGGGGGGGGCTGGAAGTCAGTGAGGGGGGGGGAGGGGGGGGGGTGGCTGGAAGCTGGAAAGTCTTAGCAATGAGGGGGGAGGGGGGGGATGGCTGGAAGTCTTAGCAGTGAGGTGACTCAGCCAACTTTGTAAAGACTTCTCAGTACCCCCCCCCCCCCTCCCCCCCCCCCCCTCCCCCCCTCCCCCCCTCCCCCTCCTCCCCCCCCCCCCCCCCCCCCCCCCCCGTAAAGAGTTCTGACCCCCCCCTGCCCTTGTTGCAGGGAAACCGTCAAACCCTTGACATGGTTTATAAACTGTCTTGAAAGTTTATAAACTCTTTGCTGTTGATACTCAACATGACTTGTCACCCACAAACAAATATGCAGCAACAGCACACTTCTTGCGTATATATGCTCACACCCCCTGTCTTTAAAAATAAGAGGGTTTTGTACATTTTGAAGTGGAAAGGTAGGCCCTGGGGGGGGGGGGTGAGCATATATATATATATATCATGGTACCCCACCCCCCAAAAAAACAAGAAGGAAAAGAAAGAGAGACAAGACAACACAAAACGTTGTCAGACGTGCCGAAGCATGGCGATTTTTTTGGGCAAGCTGTAGCCATGAACGGCTGCTTTCATGGGGATACCTGACTATCGGTGGGTGACCAATTGTCACCGCTCAACAACTTTTGACATGCGGATCGATTTCTTTAGAACTGGTTTGGACAATCTTGATTCTGTTTGTTTGGCCCGTTTCGCCCCCTGCTGCAGGGACCAACATGAGGAGTCGACCCCTCGCAAGAGTGCTTGGCTTCCTGTTGCCGTCCTGTTGATTGGGGACAAACACGATTTCTACTTTGGACAGCTGACGCATCCCAAAGGGTATTGCCTACAAGGGATTATCCAAGCTTCTTGGATGGGATCATCGGATTCAGGATCCCTTGGGGTCCGCAAAGTGGGTCCCTGATTTGCTCCCGGGGCCCGGGGGCTTCCCTTTGACTCATTTGGGTGATTTCGATTGTGTAGGGCCCACTTTTCTCCAGGATAGGGCTGAAGGAGAGAAGTGGAAGGAGGACTCGAAAACCGCCGCTTTGGGAGGTCGCTTCCGAACACGGCTTCTCAAGAGAGGCGGATTCTGTTTGGTTCCAAAGGGGCGACCCCCTGAAATGTGGATTTCTCTTTCATTCCCTCCAGACTCTAAAAACAAAGGAGACTCCCAAAGCTGGTTGCCTCTTCAATTCCATTTAGCAACTCCCCTCGCACAACCTCCAACATTTGGAAGCTCGCCATCGGATTCCTTTTTGGCTCCCGTCTAAGATTCCATCCAATTTGAATAGGACCCCCACCGGAAACTAGGAGTCCTTCCTTGACCCGGAAACGGGTATCTTGTTGGTCATTTGTTCTTCGCTGGGATGGAAGCCTTGGCGGAAAGAGAATTCCCAGTTCAGCCAGATTTGCAACAAACTATGAATTGGTATGTGTCAATATAGGGGGAACCAAAAAATGAGCTTGGTATTCCTTTTGATTTGCCTTGAAACCAACCTGCCATCAGAGACACACAGACAAGTAAACCTGAACATCGGACTGTAGACATATCACGGATCGTGTGACCTCGCTCACGACAATGCGACACAAACAGAAATATATTTCCCCACCACCGGGATATGTTGAGATAGCGCTTCATTTTCCGTGCAAGCTTACAAAAGGTTAACCAAGACATGGAATCCAGCAGGTCGGATTTTGGTGTACCACCCTTCGGCATTATGAGGTGTTCCCCCAAAGCAAAGTCTTCCGAGGAGGCTCGTTGCCTTCCTGGTTTTCTCTCATTTTCCCTTGTAACCAGCAAAACGTTTTCAAGCTTATGCAGGGGTCCCGGTCGGATTTGTACGCGCGTCCAGCGCAAGCCCAAAAGCTCGGATATTCGTGTTGAAGGATTTGGCTTCTGTATGTTTGGAGTCAGAACTTGTGTATTGGCACCCCTAGCTTCCCCAACTGGTTTGTTTGTTCCTTCTTTGGCAGCAGCACCGCAGAAAAGGGCAGGGTCAGTTCCACCATTCAAGAGATCCGGAGCGTGCGCAGGCATTTGAACTCTGGCGATCTCAAGGAGATACCAGTGCCAGTGGACCTAACAATGGCAGAGCCTACGGATTGCACGTCTAACCGCCCTTTACGCATTTGATTCACATCCTCGGCCAAAATGAAAGGCACCAGAAGGGAAAACGGCCAGTCTGACTTGGCTGAGGAGTAAGTCGGTTTCAACGTGGCACATCGGAATTTCATTTGCCTATTATGGTGAACTTGCCTGGAGGTAGAGAAAACTTACCCACGATGAAGGTCCCTTACTTGGCTCTTACTTGAGGATTCCTTGTTTCACTTCAGGCTTGTGAGCTATAGTCTGCCCGGATCTTCATGTCAACCAATTTGTGATCCCCCTACCCTGACTGCCTACTAAGCCCACAGCCAGTACCACTGTCACAAGCAAAGCCAAAAGGGCTTCAAGGGGTACCTTTTTCACCAAGAGGGGCGCCAAATTCCAAAACCAAAAGGGGGTTGTCTCTACCTGGCGCTTCCCTGGCGCCTGCCGCGCCTCTACGGGCCATGCGGCCCATGCGCTGCGTGCGGGCGGTGCTTTGGCCGCGCCTCCCGCGCCCGGCGCTTCGGAGCTTCGGGGTGCAGCGCCCGGGGCAGCATGGCGACAAGGCGCGCGCCGGAGCGAGCTGCAAAACGCGGGGGGAAGCCACCGGTCGAGCCCAAAGCGGGGAAAACTCGGGGGAAAACAAGTAAACCTGGAAAACCTAGAGCTTTTTGTGGTAAAACTCGAGTCGAACCTGGGAAAACCGGAAAACATGGGAGTACAGTTGGAGTAAAACCTGGGACAAGCCGAGTAAGACCTGGTTGCCGGCTGTACAGATGAATGGGCGCATTCCTTCTCAGATGTATCCAGATGTCAGGTGTATATACATATAGTCTACTGTTAGTTTGAGGGCATGCAGGACGCACCGAATGCGTGTCACAAATGCAACAATGCAACCCAGACAATGCCAAGACGGAACCGGTCCTTTCAATAGAAAACACATCCTTAGCTGTTTCAATTTGGATACTTTTACTCGTTTTAGACTTTCGACCAAGCAAGTGAGCGAGCAACGGGTGATTCTGAACAAAAACATCCCGGTTCCACCGACGGCGTTTTTCTGTCTTCACATATATTGAGTTTGTATTCTTGGCCCCTGTTGGGATCATACCTGATTTCCCTTCAGGTACATCGGTCCATATATCATATACTTCTCACTCCCCGAGTTTCTCGACTTCATACATTTGAGAACACCATGTTGAAGGCAAGCAACAAATAGTTTCTTTGGCCTTCCTCTGGGTTGTGTCCGGTTGGGCTCCTTCTTTGGGAGTTTGGCCAAGTTAGTTGGTTGGTCACCGGCGTTGGATTCAATCATGTGGTTCACAACCCACGTGGCTAGCAACTTCGCCGAACCTCCAAGCTCCAACTGTCGCGTGTGGTTTGTTTCCTTGCGCCCTTTCGTGGGATCGGACCGTTTCGGGGTTGGACCCTCCCTCTGCAGACGCCGAAGCGCCCGAGGTGCACAACATCGGCGCGGGGCCGGGGGCGCAGGACATGGACCTGGCGGCCTGGTCCAAGCTGAAGAACTCCGAGGCCCAGAGCGGAAAGCGGGTCCCTTGGTTTCGGCTGCTCCTGTTCGGTGGGGTTGGGGGGAGGAGAACCCCTCCAAAGAAAAAGGGCATCCGAAAAGGTGGTGCACCCGTTTCCCGATAATGTAAGGGCTTGAAGAATTTCACATCGCGAGAGAATTTGGCTCGATAGCACTGAACGTTTGAAGCAGTCCGTTTTTGGCCAAACCCAGTTCGACTTGTTTGGGGATCATCAAAGGAGGCCAGCAACCAGTATAATAGTACCCCCTTGATCCCCCAGTTTTTGATGAGGGGGATACCAAGCAAATCCTTTTGATCGTGATTAAATATGGTCACGCGGATGAACGTACCCCTTTGACGTCATGGTTTCACACAAACCATTGGTAAAGCTCCTGTCCGGTTTCACCAAACATGGTTCACAAACCTTTGACGTCATGGTTGTGCCAAAACACTTTGGTTCTGTTCGACAACCTTCAACCATTGGCAAAGTCGCACCAATCAAAACGACGTCGGACCTTGAACCAACTTTCCTGCATATTTACGGCACCTTTGAGCCATGCGCTGGATTCCATTTTGACAAAGCCGCTGAACACAACCACCGGGCCCCTTCACAGAAAAGCCAAAAGGAGGCTGTCGAAACCAAATGGTTTAAGCATGTTTTAGCCAAGCGGCTAGCCAAATTACAAGGCTCACCTATTCCCTTTGCCCTTTGCCGTGTTTGGGGCATCCACGGTACCATACCTCGGGTACCACGCTACTGGGGTGTTCGGCCAAGTTACCAAGTTATTAACCAGGCTCCCGCCTGCTGCCGCCGACCCTCGGCGCATTAAGGGAAAAGTCACAAGGACCGGTCCTGAAACACGTCCGCAAACCCAGGGACCACTTATAAGATCCTCTACGACCACAAACAAGGATTAACGGAAAAGTCAGAAATAGGGCAGCTAGTCCGTTAATTACCGCTTGGGCCGGCTTGCGCCCAAGTCACTTCGAGTTGGCCCGGGAGCAGTCGCCTCTCCCGGGGTCGCCCTGAAACTGGCCCTCCCGAAGTTGACCACAAACAAGGATTAACGGAAAAGTCAGAAATATTGCAGCTAGTCCGTTAATTACCACTTGGGCCGGCTTGCGCCCTTCGAGTTGGCCGGGAGCAGTCGCCTCTCCCGGGGTCGCCCTGAAACTGGCCCTCCCGAAGTTGCCCTGGACCGGTCGCCGGCAGCAGGCTGGTCCCAGTCTGGCGCGGTTTGACTTGACGTATTGGACTCTCTTGCAGAATAGATCCAGGGATCCTCTACTACGACAAGGACGTCAATAACCTGCACGGGCCGGTTTGGTCGCAGGGAGTGACGACCTGGGACCCTGTCCAGTGTCCTGGGTGCCAGTCCGGAAAGGTGTCTGGAGCGGTTTGAGGTGGCAGCACAGCAGTTTGAATTGGGACCCAATACCAGCAGTCACACCAGGACTCGATCCCGGACCGGCTTCCCAGACCGGTCCCAGGACTGGTCCTGGGACCGGTCGACCGGTCCCAGGACCGGTTTTGGCTGACTACAAGTAATCTGAAACAGCAGAACCAGGGTCCCAGGACCAGTCCCAGGACCGGTCCCAGGGACCGGTCCCGGGACCGGTCCTGGGAATCCACTTTTTGTGGGTTCGGGCGTGTCCCCCAGGGACTATCATTGATTCCAATCACTTCCAGTTGCATCCCACGCCGGTCCCCTCTGCAGGAGGCTGGGACGGGAGGCAGAGGGTCGGCGGATTAGCCACCTGGCGCATAGCCAAGCAAAAGCAGGTGTAGCCTAGGTCACTAAAACTTCTTTGCCCAAAGACCAACGAAATTCCTGGGAGTGTTGGGGACTGGACCTCCTTCTTCGGATCCTTTCGTGAATTTGCAGGGGGCTGGAATCCTGGTTGCAACCGGTCGTGTTCAAGGGAAACGTCAGAAGCAAATGACACAAGTTGAGTGTTCCCTCCCTTTCCTTGTATTTGTAGTGTCACTCAGCAGGTTGACTAAACATGACACACAACATCTAAGCATTGTTTGGGCCCGGCGGGGACATTGAACGTTGAGGGCCAAATTTAGGCAGCTTCCCATTTCGTGGGCCGGAGGTGGGCATGGCCATCTCGGACTCCCTGAGCCACGTTTGGCAGCAGCCGGACGCCGCGAAGGCCGCGATCAGCTTTGAGCAGCTGCCGGGTGTCAGTCCAGGACGGGCGTTCTCGGCCGAGAACTGGCCGAGGGTCTCGGAAGCACGCTCGGCTTCTCCAACACAGACAGGGCATATAGCTGTCCTTTTTGGGTTAGTTTGGCTAACAATAGATGGCACTGGTTTAGGCGGGGTTTATCCCATTTACCAGGGCCATCTATTTTTCCAAAAGGCCACCTATGAGACATGCTGAGATGTATTGCTTGTACACCCCATAGCTGGGTACCGTTCAGTTAATTTTCGCACCCTTTTGAGGGGAAAGAGTTTGCACCAAAGCCTTGCCCCCTTTGCGGTTGCTGACCGGATCCACGTTTTCATTCCCTGCCTTTCCCAAAATGCCCAACCCGTGAGGCTCTGAGGCTCGGGTTTGGCCGGCCTTTGGGTCTCTCGACACCCAAAAAGAGAAGTCAGCTCGAAGCCTTTGACGCTTTGAGGGGTGCTTCAGTTGCTCTGGCGGAAAGGTGCCACGTCTCCCTTGCAAAGACACGCGCACACAACAAGAAACAGCTGAATTAACGGTCAATCCCACAGTTGTTTCACCAATCGTTCTTTCATGAAACGTCTCGAATTCTCCGGTCTGGAATGGTTGGGAAGAACAGCTAGACCATTCCCACGTATCAGAGACGAGGCTAACGAGATACATGGATGGCTTTTTTTCTTCCCCCACTAACCAACGAGCCAAGGAGAAAAAGAACAAGTTGGAGCTTTCCAAACGTGACATACATGAAATCCACCCCCCCGCTGTTGGGTGTGAACACCGAGCATGAGCCCAACCATGCGGAGCCGACTCACCAGGTCTGACCCTTAACAGAGGGAGCACCCCCAAGCTTTGTCCTTTTTGATTTTCTTCCTTTATTTCCTTGCATCCAAGGAGGAACAAAAACAAGAGCAGCTCCCTTCTTGGCGCGCCTTTTTTTTCTTTTTCCTGAGGCGTGACGGCGGTGCTGGCGCGGAAGGTCTTGTCGGAGGAGGAGTGCCGGGCGCTGATCGCTGCCTTCCCCACCGAGGGCCAAGGGTGCCTTGGGCCAGAGGGCCAGAGGGCCAGAGGGCCAGCGGCTGTGGGGGTCCAGCCGGCCAAAAACCACCAGTAGAAAAGGCTCGTCTTGTTTTTGTTTGAACACCCCGGCAAAGGTGCTTGTCACTGTTCTTGGACGGCTTTGGGTATCAGCGACTTTGGGGACGACCTTGAGACCTTTTGGAATGGATGTCCTGCTTCCCGAAGAAGTGGATAGCTTTTTGGCAGGTCAGTTGGACATGGTTGAAACGGGAGGTTGGTTTTAAGGGGTTCCAACAACCGAAATGACACATACTCATTTGGACCCAACACAATTGTGTTTTTGCTTTTGGCTTCAAAACAAGGTGAAAACAGTATCCTCAAAATACAGACCCAAAGGGGATGTCGTATCACCAGAGCCGGTGTCCGAAGGTACATGGCGGGGGACCGGGTGGCGGAGCTGTACCGCGACCGAAAGGCGCTGGATGGGCGAAACGTGAGGTGTGTGTTTGTTTTGTTTGTCGGTTGGCTTGTTTGTTTTGTGTTGGTTTGGTTGGTCTTGCTTTGCTTTGTTTTGGTTTGTTCACGGTTACCAAAAGCCTTTTCCTGTTCTGGGGTTCTTGGAACTGCTTCCGGTGGTTATCATTTACCTGCGTTTGGACTGTCCAGGTTTCAGTCCCAAAGTTCCATCCAACTTTCCATTCTGAAGAACCCTTTGCAAAGGAAACTCACCAGCTTTCCCTCCGTTTGCATTTTCCGGTTTGAGCTGGGTGTCTGTCTCTTTGTTCTGGGCTTTCTAGGCGGCCCGTTTGAGGGGACCAGAGTCCCTGGTAAATCAATGGAGCAATCTGGGGTCAGTCAAATACCGCGTTCGTGCAAACCCAGCACTGGAGGTTGTGGAAATCCACAGGTTCGTTGACCCGTGGAAATCAATCGGAGGTTTCTCAATCATTCTCAATCCGATTTTTTTAGCGACAGGTAAAAATTTGGAGCGGCAGGCGGGGGGTGTCTCTTTGTAGGGGACCCCCCTCCCATAAAAATGGTGGTGTTCCTTTGGGTTTCCTTGTAAAACCCACCAAACACGGGGAAGAGACTCGCAAAAAGAAGGGTGACGCGGCCAGGTGAAGAGCCGGGTGCTGGTGAACGACGCCTTCCTGGCCTCGCTGCTCCAGGACCGCCTGGGTCCGCAGCTCCCGCAGGTCCTGGACGGGGGCCGCCTGCTGCAGGCGGTTCGGTGCCGGGCGAAACCGGGGGCCAACGGGGAGGAGGTAGCTTCTACCCACTTGGCTGTGGGTCAAAACCCTGTACCCCTGGTGAACATCAAAATAGGTGGTACATGGGTGTTCGTCCGCCCCAAAATGCAGGCATAGGTTTTGACCCATGGCCACTTCTGAAGCAGACGAAACCCAGTGGGAGTTTAGGCCTAAGCCTGGTGGATTTTTTTTAATGGGTTTTGTGTTTTTAATCAAGGGTCGAACTTAGACCCAGTTTTTGGTGAGGCAGGGCCGGGCTTGGGTCAAGGAGCACCAGCGGCTGGGATTTTGTTAATGTCATTTTTGGTTCACCAAATATGGGCTAGAATCGATATTTCATGTTTGGTTGGGAGTAAAAGCTGCGGTAGGCGGGGGGCAGGGGTTCGGTGATTTTGCCAGGATCAGGATCGACCCAAACCCAAGGTTGCGTTTCATGAAAGGGGATGATCATGTGCTTAAGTTCCATTCTGTTTTTCCACCCAGTGGTTACTTTCTCCCAGAGAGGGAACCAGTGGTTACTTTCCCCCAAAGAGGGTACCAATTAATTCCCGGCGTATGATACAAGTTCATTCCCCTCCAATCTCCGGGCAGCAAGCACAACAACAACCAGATGTTTTGCGACACCCGCCCCCAGAGACTTGGTCCACAACCCCAGGATTAGCATGGAACTCGCCCAATCCTTGTTTGTAGAGGACTCTTGTATTGGGGCACGCCCTTTTTGGGTTCCATGTGAATTCGCGGGGGAGCGGCTGGGGCCATGCGTGAAACTGATCGAGCCAGCGCCCTGTCTCTGTTTCGCGGCGAAGGTGAACCCCAACTTCCGGCTGGTGCACTACGTGGCTTCGGCGGCATTGTTGCCGCGGGGTGTTTCTAAGATCTATCAAACACTGGCGGATGTTCTGGGGGGTTTGGGTGGTGAAAGAAAGAGAAAGAGAGCGAGAGAGAGAGAGTGTACAATCAGGGATGGTCATCAACCATTGAGAACAACAACTAGAACAGCATGACAAGGATTCTTGTGGGAGCCATGGCACACACTGCCTTGTTTCACGGGGAACTGCAAGGCGAGCGAAGGCGGAAGTGCACGGCTTCTGTTTGCAAGACCAAACCGGTCGTTTTGGAACAGGAACTTGGTATGCGCGAGGGAGAGGACTGACTGACACTCCTCCGCTCATGGCGCCAAATCAAACGAACTTTGCCAATTCTGCGCAAATGACAGCATCGCAAAGCGGGTTTGCGGCTGCACAGAGTAAGTGTTCCTTACTTAAGGAGGTCTCATGTTCAAAGTAATTTGCCCAAATCATTTGTGATATCCCTCGAGGAAACCGCAAGTGAATGTCATTGTTTCAGCTTTTCCAGAGCCCTACTTTACTACTTTATGTTTTCTGTGGGGTTTGTGGCTTTGTCTCCAAACAGGGCAAACCGGAACTGGGTTGCAACTGGCCCCCCTCCCCTGAACTGAGTTGAGGGACAGCAGGGTGTTGGGAATGAGGGTTAAGAAAGCTTGCTCGATTTGGATCGGTTTCCAGGAAATCCGGATCACTGTTGGGGGAGTTGCATCCCCCCCTCCCTTTTACCATACTTGTGTCAGTTTTTCATACCCGCCCAGTTTGGGCCATCCCCAACCCTTAAGCCCATTCCCGAGCCCTAGGAGACGGGGGGGCGCCACTCCACCCACATCGACGGCCGGGAGCCGGTGCAGCCCCGGCGGGATGAGGAGGCCAACGGCTGGGTGCAATCGCGGCTGACGATGCCACCTGGCAAGGCGAGGCCGGCTTTTTGGTGGTGGTGTCCTTTGGTTTTGATGAAGGGGCCAATGCTCTAGCCTGCTGAGTCAAGTCCAGCCCGTTTTTTCTGCTTTTGCTTGGCGAGTTGCTGTAAAAGTGGTCCCCAAAACGGGTTCTGATTCTTTTGCCACGGCACTGGAAGCCTCGAGGGTAGACGATTGAGTTTGGCTTCCTTTGCGTGTTCTCCGAAACTTCACCACGTTTGGCCTGTTTGTTGGTTGTTTGGTTGTGTTTGTCTTTTAGTGGGAAGCTGCAACAAACAACGGAGTTTGCTGACCTACAGCTTTCATGTTCATGCATCCGCCTGGTTGAACAACGTGTCGGGGCAATTTGAAGCGACTCCCCACACAGAGGCTTTTGGATGGGATTGTCCCCGCATTGGGACTTTGTACCCCCAAACCCCACATTGGGATTCCCCCCCCCCGCCCCCAAAACCCTCAAAACACCCACCCACCCTGGCGACATTGCCAGACCTCAGAGTGCTTCTGCTGAGAGCCGTGGACCCGACACACGGACCCAAGGCAGGTCTACCTGAACAGCCACGGCAAGGACTTCGAAGGAGGCCAGGGACGTCGAGGGTTTCCGCACCAGGGTTGACCTCAAGCTTAGACCTCAGGGCCCGTTTTTTTTTTGTATTTATCCATTCATTGTAATTATTTAGATTTCATTTCTCAGGTTGGGGAATTTGCGCTCGTTTCACTCAGGCGAGTTCGCCATTGTGGACGCGGAAGAAGAGGCAATGGGGGTTGGGCTACTGGTGCTTTTTGTGAGGGCATCGCTACCAAAAAGGACCAAGGGCGCCTTTTTGTCCCGACAACTGGAGATCTGGCATGGCTTTGGAAAGAGGCGTGTAGCCAAGGCTCCAAGACTTGGGTGTGTTTTGTCGCGTCATTGTTTCCAAGAGCATGTCCTTGGTTCCCTTGTTCTTTGGTTCTGTTTAACCTTAGTGGGCGGAGGGGGGGAGCAACATTTGGGATTGGCAAGGCAGGGCATATCACGGATTGGAGTAACTCGCCATTGTGACAACCCAAAAGACGTTCTTCTTTGGGTGTATATACCACGGTTTGAGACACCGGGCATCAGGTTGTCTCCCCAAGGAGTCGCAGGGCCAATCATCCACCCACTATCTGGATGTTCGGCAGATTCATGCTTAGCCACTTGGGTTATAACCCACTGGTACCAGGCTGAACTCAACTTAAGTGGCTTAAAAGTGGGTTATCACTTAGTCTACCCACAATTTAATGGCAAGGACCACCCAAGGAACCGACTGCTGGGACATGCATCTGCGGAATGAGCATTTGCCAAAGCTAGTGACCCCTCCAAAGTAGTTGTCGGCAGTTTGGGGTCTTTGCCGAGATGGGTTATGGAGTGGTTCGGAGCGTGTTTGGGCTAGGGTTCCGGAAGGGTTCCGAACTAAGCAAATTGCTCTTCGGCAAGCACACCCTGGATCTAAACCCGCTTGTTTCTGAACTACTTGACAAGCCAGAGCTCTGTGTTTCCCTACAGCCAAAGTGGTGCGTGTGTGAACATATGTGCCAAAATAAGGTGCTCAGACCGGGAAGTTTGGAGGGGTATGATTCGCAGGTATGATTCGAGGTATTCTTCGAGGGTTTGATTCGCGGTATGGTTCGCGAAACTTCTGTTGCAACATCAGCTGCGCTGACGATCTGCCGCTGGCAAAACATGTGTTACTTTCGCGCGTGGTCACAGAGTCACGCACACAAGCAAAAGGTATGGTTCGACGTATGGTTCGTGTATGATTCGAGGTATGATTCCAGTCGAATTTCCATCCTTTTCTAAACCTTAGGCACCATAAAAAGGCATTAAGACGAGTTGTGCTGACTTAGAGGGTGCCATGATCCGTGTGCGCGTGGCCTTGGGTGTTGTGCGCGCTGGCTAGTTCAGCCCAAATCTTCAAAGTTGCAGAGGTTTTTGTAATTGAGGGAGGTTTGACAGTTCCCTTCAAGAGCCCTCGTAAAGTTATTTAACCATCCTGAAGGGTAGAGCGGCTATTTGGAACCCATTGATACACCCCTGTTTGATGAATAGGGGGTGGAACCCCGCTTTAAGAGGGGTTTGGATCCCTTTGAGCCGCCAAGTAAGCCGACTGGATGTTTTATGCGGGGGTCAACAGGAAAAATGGAATAAAAAACAGATCCCATTTGCGGTTGGAAGGGAGGGTCATTCAACAAGAGGGCGACTGGCGGGTTGCAGGGTTTCCGAGTCAGGGTCGAGGAGAACAAGCAGCCATGGCAGTGTACCGAACTCTTCGCAAAGAGCGTCCTCTTGGAAAAAGAGCCTGTCTTCCATGTTGGGAGGGTGTGTCTTCTTGGGGTGCTTCCTGGCCAGGCCGAGCTTTGCATCATTTGGAAGATTGAATATTGACAAGGATGCCAACTGAACCAATTTCCTAAAGGGTTCCAATAGTTTACACTAACTTTCTGTTTGAAAGGGAAGCCCAACGAAAGCCAGCGGCATGAGTGGCACCGAAAATCCGCAGGGCGGGGAGGTCCGGGTGAAGCACACGGTGCGGCCCAGCGCGGGGGATGTGGTGCTCTTCTATCAGGCGGGGGGAGGCCTCTGGTCTGTTGCTCATTTGGAGATGGGTCAAAACAGCCACCAGGGGACCAGGGGACCGCAGGTTTGGTCAGTGTTTCCATTTTCCAGGGTTCCATTTTGGGTACCTATTTTTGACCCACACCCATTTGGAGATGACAAGGGGGGCCTACCCAGTATCCCGGCCCCCTGAAAATAGAAGGCTTGGCCAGTTGAACCAACTGTAAGTAATATTGTCCTTGGCTCAGCTGACAAACATATCGGTCTACAGATGGTTTTGGGGAGGACGTGCGGGGCCAACCCCAAATTTCCCACAACGGGGGGGGGACCATTTTTCATGTAGGTCAATTGAACAGCAGATTTAGGATTGGCGGTACCATCAAAAAAGGACACCCCCATATTGACAGCTCAAATCAGGTTAGAGTCGTTCAGGGAGCCTTATGGGGATTGGTTTTGTGGGGCGGTTGTAGCGACACAGGTTTTCTTCCTTTTGAGGTTGTTAAGCAGGCTAAAGACGTTTCTTTTTTTGCGTGTAGAAACCTGTGCCCTTTTCGGATGTCCTTGAAGAGGAGTTCGGTTGACCATGCCATGGGGATTTCTTTGGTTTGTCTCATTTACCAGTGGAATACATTTGTCCTAATACCTAGTCATCCCTTATTAGTATTATTGCTGCTGCTGAACATGTAGGGCTCCCGAGTCTTGCTGATTCCTTGAAAGGAGCATGATAATGTCCCTGTCAACCTTGAGGAAGCCCTCCTGGTCTTTTTGGATACCCCAAGCCGCTCCGCCCAAAAACGCGTTGGGCGCCCGCTGAACGCGGAGCATCCCTCTGGACTCGGTGGCTTTGGCTCCGGCCAGGAGCGGTTGGATCCCCCGTCCCAGTGCCCGCCCTATGAGCTGCAGCATCAGGATCGGATCGGATCGGATCGGATCGGATCGGATCGAGTGTGGGACATGGCTCGTTTCTGGAGGAGCAACCCAGTTCCAAACACGGGGTTCCTGAAAGGAGGCATGAAGCAAGCTGCTTCACAAGGGGATCCTCGAAATCAGCTGTAAAGGTGGTTGATGAAAATTGGCCCACGTACATCTATCCTTTAATGGACCTCGTTTCACCCCTTCCAAAGACCAGGGCAACGACGTGACCTGGGGCGAGAAGTTCGCGTGCCGCACCATGGTGGACTACATCTTCCCGGACGAGGAGACCGCAAGGCTCAGCAACGTTAAGGACCCGATGGGCGAAATGCATCCCGATACTGAAGGAACCCGAAAAGGTTTGCTGAGCGAACCACTCAGGCATGTTCAGGCCCTAGAATCGAGCCTGTTAGTAGGGAGACAGGGTTTGGTACAGAAGTGGCTAGTTGAAAAGGGTCCTCCTTGAATGGCATGGGAAACATACCTGCTAAAAGCAAGAGGTGCCAAATACATCCAGCGATACTGAAGGAACCCGAAAAGGGGTTCAGAAGCAGTAAAAGGCGAGCAGCCAAAAATGAACAGAGCCAAGACAGTCAACATGTTTTCGGGAAGATTACGTGACCCAAAAGTGTAGAAGCGATGGTTCAACCAGTCCGAGAAGTTTCCCAACGGCACACACTGCACCACCTCTTTTTCGTTTAACAGGTATACTTTTCTCCAGCACATTGCACCAACAAAGAACCCTTTTCAGCCAGGAAACTGGGTTTGATCGTCGTACCAAACCCTACTAACGGTCCCTTTAAAGTTTATTCCATCACAAGGAAGCTCATTTCAAAACGGCCTGAAGGGAAACGTTTGAATCACCCACCCCCGATTCGTGGCACCGCAAGCCCCCCAGAGTTTTTCCCGGGATCCCCTCTGTAAGGCTTGAGCAAGAAGACTGCTCACTCAAACAGATCTTGGGTTTCCATTGCGAGGGTGTTCGGCCGAGTTAGGGTTGTGGCTCACTGATCATTTCTCGTAAGTGGATTTAACCGCAACCACTTACTAATTTGGCCGAACACCCAGCTCCTATGCTCTTGCCTGAGGACGACACCATGTTCTCCAGCAACGGCGCTTCACCGTCAGTCCTCGCAATTGGCAACACCATCATCGACACTTCGAATGTCTGTGGCACCCCCCCCAGCACCAAATGGCCAGGGGCAAAGCAAGGGTCCAAGCCCCTTGAAGGCCTGGGGATTCCTTCGGGTTGCAAAATTGTTGCATAATTTGACGAGGAAGACATGCCCAATGAGAGGAACCGCACCCAAGGACACCATGCTCACCATCTCCCACATCCCCATCGACGAGAAGATCCACGTGCGGAGCAAGCAGACCTACGTGGGGGGCCAGGGGGCCAACGCAGCGCAGGCCGCGCGAATTTCGGCCGAAAGCGGAGCCATCCGGTTGCGAGAGCGAGTCGACCCTGCGGGATACAGGGCTGCTCCAAAGTGATACCAAGTTGGGTAGAAAAGCGGCATTGGGCCCGTTTGTTTTTTAATTACTTTTTCCGGGGGCATTTTGTCTACCTTGCAGGGTCTTTGGAGCATGTCTGGAAAACGAACGTTTGAACTTGGCGTCCCAGTGTTTTTCAGGGTTGCTAAGGATACATGCTCACCATGTCGAACAGCACATTTACCAGCTGACTTGGAGGATTCCCTTGAACATCAGGTGATATTTGCAAGTAGCGTTTGGTCTTTTTTGGATGGTTGTCCAATGAGGGAAAACCAGAACGACACCAACCTGCAGATTTTTCCAGTTGATATGGTTGTTTCTCAAAACATCTCAAAGTAGGGGACCCTTATCAGTAGTTGGTTCTTCTTGAGGCTTCATGGCTCAGGTGATTTTCTCCCCGCGCTTTCGGAACACTCTCATTGTTTGCCGGGTGTCCTTTTGTTTTGTGTTCTCTTTTTTTGTTTCCAGCTTGTAGAAGCAAAAACACAAAACACAGGATCCCGGGGGGAAAAAAAAAAAAAAAACACGAGGGAAAGACGGCCCCGTCTATCCCACGGCGGGCGGTTTTTTGCTCCCGCAGCGGGGGCTTCAAGGCCATGGCGCAGCTGGGTCTGCGCGTGGCGTTTCTCACGCGGCTGGGGGACGACGTGGAGGGCCAGACGGCGCTGCAGGCGTACGAGGGCCTCGACATGGACCTCCGGCAGGGCGTGTGAAACCGGGGGGTGGGGGGAGAGGGACCAACGGGGGACCCAGGAAGCGGTTTTTGCTGGTAACATGGGACAGTTCTCGGTTTGAAAATCAGGGTTTTCTGCAAAAGGGTGCGTCCTACGACTGAAAGGCGGGGCGGCAAGCTGCTTTGGGATCTGCTTGGAACTTGTTTTTGCATTTTGAGGGTCGGGCAATTTGGACCGGAATCAAAAATGAGGTAAAAAGCTGAGCTAGAAAGGAAACCCAACGATTCCATGTAGCTGTATAGGTAGGGACCCCCTTTTGGACACACAAAGGAAAATGGCTGAAGGATCCCATACTTCTAGTTGGTGAGTTAGAGCGTCAAAATGCACCAAGTTTTTTGTGAGGCCCCTTGTTGAAGTGCTCCAATTGCTTCTTCGTAGGGGTGGAATCAAGTCCTGCCGCACAAGAGGTTGTGTTTGGCCTGTCTCAGAGCAGAGAGCCCCTTTGGGTATGCTGGGGAAGGGAAATTGGCAGGAAGCCACCATGTGTTGAGCTTCTCCTTGCTGGAGTGATGTCAGGGGACATTTAAGTGGTTCTCATTTTGGAAGTGGCTCACATGTGCTAACACATTGACGCGGACACCCAGAACAAAAGACATGTAAGTCGAAACAAAGCACCTACCTCAAGATGACTTAAGCTGAGATTCATAAGATAGACATAGTTTTTGTGGGGGGTAGCCTGATGCCGGGGAAGCCTGCTATGATTTCGCGCCTTCGATCCCCTTCGATCCTTCGACAGTTCTGCGATGCGCAGGCACGCGTTGGTTGTGCCCGGTGCACAGACCAGCACCTCCGGCTTGGAAGGGAAAAAGGCTAAGCCCCAGATGGAAGAAACCCGGGGTGTCCCTTTTAATCCCTTTCATTGTTGTTAACATAGGAGCTCCTGATCGACTAGTAGGGGATGTCCCCGCGAAAAGAGGGTTTATCACTTTTGGAGGGGATCACTCCCATATTAACAGGACGGGTCTGTGCGGAGTCAACATTATCTCCGAACCTCGAAAGAAGCAAATCGCCTTTGGGTGGATTACTCAAAGGGGACGGGTCATTCGAAGGGAGTGTTAATTTCACGCGCGACGGAATCATGATTCGGGGGTGAAACCTGCAGTCCATGATGAAGGTTTCTTACTGGGGGGAGGTTGCTTATTTCTGGTTTGTGAATTCAAGCATTTGGCCAGCTGAGTATGCATCAAAACAGGAAGCCTCTTAGACAATTTTGAAGAAGACCAAGCGCCGGGGCCCTCCAACCCTGCAAAACATCCGTGTGCTGGATATGAGCAACTCTGTGCACACGAATGAAGAGTCTCCCCATGTTCTTGCTTGGGCGAAGCCGAACCTCCATGACAAATGCGGTCGACAACTGAACAGGAGGAATGTTGGTTGCGAAGGTTTCAGAAGGCACATTGCGCACGCTAGCTACTCTTTGCTGGATATCATTTACATGCGGATTTGTGCCCACCATCCAATTTTGCGCGGTTTCTCCTGACAACAATTATAGCCATTTTGTTTTGCTTTTAAGGCACGCCTTAGAACACTGGTAGTTTTGGTAAGCCTTTGCGAGGCCCGAGAACGGGTTGGATTGATTGAAGTCCTGTGTTGCACACTTGGCTTGCATCTGCAAAAGCTGGACGGGTGGCGGCACATAACAGCCAATTTTGACCACAGTTCACCTGGCTGGTCCGCCAAGTTTGTACGTAGTCCACTTGGGTTGTCAGCCACTATTGGTGATAGGCTAGGTTTCAACAACCAACAAACTCGGCCAACCATTGCTAACCTGGAACCCTTTTAGAAGAATGCCTTCGGCAGTGTCCCACATAAGTTGGGGGAGAGTAGTACTCATTCTTTGTGGTGTGATCGTTTGACGCGATTGCTGCCAGTTGTCGTGGTTCACTTGGGGAGGAGCTGCAATTGCAACAAAATATGGGAGGAGAAGATTAAGCAACGCACCCCCCAAGCAGGTGGTAGTTATATTTCTGTGCTACCTTCCCCATTCTTTCCAGGGATCCTTCTAGAAAACCTCCTTTGAAACCCAGGGAAACGGATCCGGTTTTCGAAAAAAAAACGATTGTTGGAAAGAATGGAATTGGAATCAACCCCTAGAACAGGGGTAGATCCTTTCACCCGTGATGAGGACCCCAAGCCCTGAACAACTTCAGAAGCTGGTTAAGTCAGATTTGCTTTGGCCTACAACCTTTTCGAGGAATGTTCTTGGGTCAACCCCCCTTTAGGTGTGGCGACGGTACTCGTGGCCAGCGACGAGGAGCGCCACCGCAGCTGCCTGCCCCTCGCAACCGAAGGAACTGCTCGCTTTGTGCGACTGGGGGCGTTGTTTTCTTCTTTTGGGGGGGTTGGGGTGGGGGAAACCTAAGGATTGCCTGTTTTTGGTGGGTTTTAAAGGGAGATTAGTTGGACACCATATTTTTAGGGTCCCCGTATTTCAAGATATACCCAACTGGTGTCTCCTCAGAAGTTCTTTCAACCGTTGACGTCATATTCTACAATAGGTTCTTTTTCTTGCTGGTGCTTCGAGAATCAACCGTGGTTTTGGGGATGAACCTGGGGAGCCACTTAAATAAAACAGGAAATGGTCCTACTGTATACGGGGAAATCAAAAGATGGTGACAGCTGTGAAGTTGTCGCTTGCAGCGGGGCATGGGGGAACCAGCTCAATTTCCCCGTGTCCTGGGAAACCTGCGCAGCTTTGACCGCGGCTTACATCAACCCCAAGAGAGACTTTGATCAATGAGTGGAGCGGATGACTGAGACAGAATCCGAGCCTTGATTGCGACAATTCTCAAATCCTATGATGTCCAAGGTGTCGTTGAACTCGCTTTGTGCAAGCCCCGTATCTTGACGACTTCCATGTATTGTGTCCTGGATTTTTTGGACGGCAACTTTGAATGCCACCCTTGGTCCCTCCCTGTGAATGACTTCCCCACAAACGTACGTGGAAGTGCTCACTCTCCCTTCTCAAACGGACAGTGGGCTTCCAACGCGGGTTTGTGCACTTCCATATTTATTGGTTGGAGGCGTTGGAACGTGTGTGCGTGTGAGCTGAAAGCAGGATTTGAAGGCCGATAAACGTAAATGTTTGATTCTTCTGGTTTCCCTTGAAACACAACCCACACAAGGATTTAAGCATGCTTTCTTGGATGCCCTTTTGAACATTACCCTAGCAAAGAGAACTCAATCAAGGCTGGTGCAATGGGTGATGTCTAAACTAGCCAGAAAGGGACACACGAGGCTTTGTCTCAAGACAAGGCCTGGTGTCTTTTTCCGTTTTGCGGTTGGTTTCCTTTCATAGCAACCTCAGCTACCCCTGATTTAAGGAACCCTGCCCCCCCCCCCCCCAACGCACGCTTGTTTGCATCAACATTTGGACTCTTAGTGACCGGTGACTATTAGGTGCCAGTGAGGACTATTTCCTCCCAGCTCATTAGCACGGAGTGGGGACCTTCTCAAGCCTTGGGTTGGGCAAATGTGAAAGGCCACCCCCAAAAAGTGGGTTGGCGGTTTGGATTTTGGTTTGGGGACTTGAACTCGGGGCCTTTTGGGCCCGCCTTCCGCTCGCCGACCTCGAGGATCCACGATGATAAGAACTTGATGGAGGCCTGCGGCCAGGAGAAGGTGGAGGCAGCCATTCAGCGCCTCAGGCGTGCCGTTTTCCTTTTTTGGGAAGGGGTTCTTTTGGGAGCAAAGGCGAAGCGATGGAAGGAGGGGCCAACCAAACGGTGGTTTGGCGGGTTTGGTTTGGTTTAGTTGGGTTGGATGGTTGGTTGGTAGGTAGGTCCATCGTACGTTGTGCTACAGGCTGCGGCATCAGGGGATCCGCCACAGGATTGACGGTTGAAGTCCGTTTGGACAAGCCATTTTTTTTGTCATAGTCTTTGGTGGAGCCTCCAGCCCGTTGGATCTTTCGGTTCACGGCATTTCCATTGAGCCATTCAGTTTTGGCTGTCAATCCACTCACGTGTGGCGATAGGACATTGGAACTTACGCCTAGTTTGAACCGCACAAGGCAGATGGGGAGTGTCCAACCAACTCCCATCCAATTTTGCCCCAAACATACGCAACAAATTCGAGCGCCGGATTCAAACCTCGTTTGTTTAAACCTTCTTTGGTTTCCCTTAAATGGACCAGGGGATTACTGTATATTGTTCAACGGACCACTATTGCGTCGGCTTTGGTTTTTTGAAGGGACCTGGGACATGTTTTTATTCTCCAAAGGGTACGTGTCAAAATATAGCGGGGCCCTAAAGATGGTAGGCTTCGTTTTGGTTTCCATTGAACCTGAAAAGTGCACCCTGACAGTCAGTTAGCACATGGACCTCCAATTGGCAGAAGTCTCCGTTGCGTGCTCACTGTACCTGATGACTGATGATTCGCTCAACACACCACGCTCAAAGTGTGAGGTTTCCCTTAATTGGTGGCATGGATTGGTTTGCGAGTCGAAGCCCTGGTTCTTGTCGAGGGTAAATGGGACTCCGCCCCCAGAGACGCCACGGCTGCACCGGCTGCGCTAGGTCCGGCCACTTCAGCGCGGTGTACACGGACGGCTGGCAGCTGGACATGGCGCTTCCCATTTGCCGGGCTGCCAAGGACGGGGGGGGGGATGGTGGGTGGGATCGGGTGGGTGGGGGGCTTTGGGGAGTTTGCGACTGGCCACAATGTGAGCTCTGATGTTTTCGCCACTGCACGGTGTGAACTTGGGTTTCAAGGGGGGGTCAGCGATTAAGGTACGGTGCCCTTGCAAGAGTTCCCCAAGCGGGACATTTCAGTTTTTGTTCTGAAGCACATGAAACAAACAGCATCAGAAATTGTGGCTTTTTGGGCCCAGCAAATCCTGAATTGCAGCCTCTTCCCCCCAGCTATGAAGGATTTAGTTGCCCCAATAAATCTTTCATTGCTGACGCCCTGTCAGCAAGGGCCCCCTAGCAGCTAAGGAGTCGTCGGTCCCCAAAAGTCGTTCATTGCTGATTCAGTCTTGCGGCCCCCCCAAGTCCTTTGTTGCTGGCCCGCTCTCAAAATTAAGGACGGTTGAGTCCCCAAGAAGCCTTAATTGCTGACCCATTCAGCAATTCTGGAGTTGTTGGTCCCAAAAATGTCTCTGTCACCCCTCAGGCAGTTAAGGATTTTGTGGGCCTCGCACATCCTGACTTTCTGACCCTCGTCGCATTTGAGGAACGTTCTATATCGTGAATTGCTGTCCCTGATTTGTCTCCTTCGGCCCTCCAAGTCGTTGCTTGGTTCCAACTTGCTAACTCAGAGTTTGCGACTGGCAGCATGGACTATACACTTAGTGGCTGAGAAGAAGCTATCAAGGATGGTGGTGGCCAAAGAAACTGAAGGACTTCTGCCCCCCCTTCTCAGTTAAGAATCTTTTGATCACTCAAAATCCACAATGGCCCATCCTCAGCGATTGCTGCAACTGCAAAACAGCAAGCAAGGAAAGCGCTAGATGAAACTCTTGAAATCCGAAACTTCCTCTTATCCACAAAGGGTAATGGCTTGAGTGTTTGCCAAAAAGTTGCCAGCCGTCAGCAACGTCAGGTTTGTCCATCCAATGCAAAGTTTTAGCAATTAAGGAGCTGGTCGGCGAGACATTGTGAATTTCTATGTTGGGCGGGCTGACGGTTGTGCACAGGACACTCGTTGTTGCCTTTGCAGAATCCTACTCACTGCATAAAGCTGCTTGTCCTTGTCACCTGGATTTTTTTCCCCAACAGCTGAGAGCTTTCGGGTCTCAGCCCAGATAGGCTCCGGGGTGGTCCGGGGCAGGCCTGAGGTAAGGTTCCGCGAGGGTTCCACCAGGGTTCCACAGTGTTGACCAGATTCTGCGAGGGCAGTTCCACAAAGGTTCCACGAGGGGTGGTCCGGGGTGGCTGTGAGGTAAGGTTCTACAAGGCAGGTTTCATCGGGGTTCCCAAAGCGTTCCACAAGCGTTCCACAAGGGTTCCACGAGGGTTTCACGAGAGCCGGGGTGGCCCTGAGGCAAGGTTCCACAAGGGTTGCACAAGGGTTTATTCCACATTTTTCCACAAAGGCTGTGGGGTGTTCCGGGGCAGGTTCCACAAGGAAGGGTTCCACGAGGCTTGCCACAAGGCTCACAGGGTTCACATGCTTTACAAGGGTTCCACGGTTTGCTGTCGTAAATCGAGGGCTCAGGAGATCACTTTGCTCATGGGCGGAA